CGCATTTTTAAATATATAGCTCCCAACATAGTGTACTCTATAATATGTGCAATTATTATAGAAGAGTGTGTTTTTAAAAGTATTGCTATTATGTCAGCAAAATGTTAAGCTATTCTTGTAAGAAAGTTACCATAAACAGAACTACGTACATACGAGAATATTAGAAATCCAATCGAAATGGTAGTTTCATTTTGTTTGTTGTTGCCCAGCGACGGCTTTGTTATAACGAAGGATTCACAAACGAAGCTAATTTTTAGGAATAATATGGAGGTTTTTTTGGTCAGAGAGTTCCTGAGAACTATTTATTCATCAGAGTTTATTTTAATCATACCATTCATAGCCTTGTCGTCTGCATGTCTGTTATTCTATCTGTATACTAACATCTTGTTTTAATCTAGGATATATAGAAATTGGCTATCGAGTTTCGCCAATTATTTATGAAATCAGAAGTCACCCTAAATCAGCTTCAAAAAACTTAAAATTTTGTGTGTATTGACAAGCAACATGAAATCAAGTACCAATATACCTTCTAAATTATACAATGGTGCTCTTGGATATGACGAACATGTTATGTTATTAGTCACACATGTCACATATATATATATATATATATACACACATATACAGAGTACATGTATATATATGTATGTGTAAAAGAAAATTCAATTAATGCAAAACTGTATGATCAAGTGAAGTCTGTTAATCAAGTTAAGTATCAAGTGAAATATAATCAAGTATAATTTGTAGAAATCCCAAGAAAAAGCCATTAATGATAATGACAGCGTTAAATTACTTACTTTATTTTAATGTACGTTTTTTTCACTATAAAATCGAATAATCCCTAATTCTCCCTCCTCCCTCTCAACCGTTAATAATTGTCCAAATTAAAAACTCAATTGTATTGAATTATGAAAGATTTGAAGAACTAGAGAAAAATCGTCTAGTTTCCCGATGTCAAGGACATATTCCGGATAAAAGTCACGATTTTTGTATAACTTTTGGTTGGCTTAAAAAGCTCTTTACCATATTGTCACACATTACAATAATTGCTTAATACAAGTAAGTCATAAATTAAATTCCCTCATATTTTATTCGATTCTCTTATTTTTGTATGTCTCTTTTTTAAATTTATTAACAACATTTTTGGTGTAAAATAAATGTAAAAAATTAAAAGGGATAACACGAAACTAAATTAAAGAAAACAAGTTAAGAACATTTCAGTCGATCTAAACCGACTAAAGTATACCCTGCATCTTGAGCATAAAAACTTGTTTTTGAAATATTTGAATTTGAGCATAAAAACTTGTTTTTGAAATATTTTGAATTAGCTTTTATAGTTGTGTGACAGTTATCCTTCCGAGCCATTATACAAAAACTTGAAGGAATATTCTGGGCCCCTATAATTAAACACACTCTTGCCACATTTCATGCAGCTAGATTTGTTCTTTCATTAAATATTTAATATGTATTAGTTTTTAAAGTTGTATGGAAATTATCCGAACCAGTGCAGTAATTCCATTAAAATTCATCAACATACATAAAATATAATTGGACAGACTTTTGCAAAATTAAATATTAATATCTCTATTAATTTTTGAAATATTTATATCCTTATTAAGATCGGCGAAGCAAATCGTATGACATTTCAAATTATGATTGGCGAATGCTTTCATTCACCAGATTCAAAGCTACCGCAAGACATCCAAAAACATAGGGAAAATAATGAGGTTAACACCACACATATGTACATTGTTTTTGCTTTTTTGTAAAAACAATTGAATTTTCTTTTCTTTTAAGCAACGTAGGGGTTGTTCTCCATTAATTCAATTAAATGCTCGAACTGCATTTGATTCGTTTTTTTCATGCTTAAGTTATTTCAATATTTTTTACAATAATTTGTAGAATTTTGTAAACTTAATTTACAGATAGTTTAGATTTTTCCATTATATCACTATAAATGCTATAATGTCAAATACAAAAGAAACAGTTATGTATTTTGATTTTTGGTTTCATTCGTCAAGCTTATCACGCAGAATTTTCATTTGACAGATTTCACAGCTCATTCACCTAAAATTAAGGCGAATTCGCTAATTCTAATACCACAAATTTATATTCCCCAAAAATTTCATTCGCTTCGCCGATCATAATAAGTTCCTTAAAATAACCGCTTTGAGTTGTGTGGCAGTTGCCCGAACCACCCATTATCCGAATGAGTCCAATTACAATGGGGTCCGTTCTTTGCAAAAAAGAAAGAACTTGTGAAATTTTTGATACCGTTTGTTTTATTAAATTTTTAGTTATCCTGAATTCAGACGGACGAAGGATGTCTAAATCAAGGTAAAATTTTACGCTGAGCAAAAATTTACAAAAATACATCTCCACACCGTAGGTGACTTAATTCAAGTGGTTACAAACTCCATACCAAAGTTAATATGTATTCCCTTAATGAAGGTGCAGGGTATAAAAAAACGTATGAGAAGACGACAAGTGACAATAGTGTAAATTAGAATAAAAACAAAAAAAAATAAAGTATAAAATAATAAAAAAAAATTGTTTAGAAAATGAGAAAACACAGAGAAAAGATAGAAAACAATAAAAAAAACAGCAAAAATAAAATAAGGGAATAAACAAGGAAAAAGAAAAAATTAAATTAAAACAGAACAAACAACAACAAAACACAAACAGTACAAGAGACACAAACAAAACAAAAAAATTATAAATAAAATCAACAAAACAAAAAAAGGCAAGAGAAATAACAGTTATTTAAGAAAAATATAAACAAAAACAGAGCAACGGTAATATAGAGACAAAATAGAAAACAAAAAAAAGTAACCGTAAATTTAATCAAAATTTTAACATCTTCAAAAATTTGTACAAAAAGCACACACCGAACACAACAACACAAAAGAACCGAATAAATATAAATAAATGAATATATAAATAAATTAATAGATTTTTTGTATGTCTGTATGTACACACATAAATAATTTTATATATATGTGTATATGTAAATATGTTTTTATAAATTTATTGCCATTTTGCTCTCATGTAAGTGCAAAAATTTATTTATTTTTTTTTGCTTTGATTTCATTTCTTATTTTTTCGTTTTTTTTTTGCTGCTCCTTTCTTTTTCCGTAAATTTTTGTGGGTTATCATCATATTTTCAAGGCTAAAGCGAAACAAGAACAAAACAACCAAATAAAAAATGTCTGAATATAAAATAAAATTTTGAAAAAAAAAATTTATACCTAGAATTATTTTAATATGTACGTATATTTATATAGGCATTTATAATCTAAATGTATATATGTATATATATGTAAACATATTTAAATATACATACATATGACCTTATTTATAGATCGTGTAGTGTACGCATATTATATAATAATTATTAATGAAAATATGAAAGTAAATAATATGGTGTAAATCGAAAAGATGGTGAAGGGAGGGTAGAGAGTGGAGAAGGCGGGCGGGAATATTAATTTAAAAAATTAATTAAATATCGCAAATAAATAAAATATTTATATGTTACTTATCGAAATTGAATCATTTTAATACATAAAACTGTATACTTATGTACATATGCTTGTACATATATACAGTAAGGTTTCTTTTTACGCGATTTTGAAGATAATCCTGTTGCGGCATTTCATATCCAAATTAATTTCTTGGATAAACATATACTTAAAAAAGGTTGCTGTTTAGGAAGCTGGGGTATAAACAACGTCTTCAAAAAATTTTGGAATGTTTAAAGTTCACTCCTTTTGTTCGATTCGAAACATTGTAAAGATTGTATGGATATGCAAAAGACAGTCTACTTCAACTCTTCATTTTTGCAGGTGTCAGTGATTTTTTTTTAATGGAAGGTTTTGCAATTCCGGATATGCAACTTGTACATGATTACTTAAAACAAAAAATAATACGTCAAGATTTCTATGCACCTGATTAAAGGATTCGTAGAGATTTTTAGAAATCAATTTCTGATAACTAGCTTCGTATCAAAGAAGTTAAAATTAAAATAAATACTACAAGGTAACAACAAAATACTTGAACTTAATTGAGAAAAAGGGCAATGGGAGGCAGAATGGCAGATCTACTATAATAATTACATTTTATTATTTACATTTTGTAATCTCATTACTGAAAGAATTACTTTAAATGCTAACTTAATTGTCAGAGAAGCGATGGGAAGAAGCGAAGAATGTAATAGATCCTGTTATCTTCATCATATATATAGAGAGTCGGAAGTACACTGATGGCGTCAATCAAAATATATATAAGTCTATACAACATGTTCATATATAAAATTAAAATCAAGCAATATTAAAGAAAAAAGGCCTGTTTATTTAAAAATCATGCAAAAAATCAGTTTAATTTTTTATTTTTCCATTTTATAATTTATTTTAATAAAAAAAAAATATACTACATAAACTAAATACTACATTAACATAAACTCTTAATGTAATATATATATATACAGTCGGAACTCTTTTACACGAATCGCATCATTTATACCAAAAAACTATATATGAAGTTCGTTTTAGATATAAAATTCGCGGCAAAGGTGTGTATCAAAAATAAAATTACCGAATAGATAATTTTCATTTCATTTAATTTCTAAATGATAAAAAAATAAAATAAAGAAAAAATGTGTAACTCGTGTAAAATTTAAAATAACAAATTTCTCGGTAAAGTGGTTTGTTTCCTTTGATATTATACTGAAAACACCAATATAAAATCTTATGACAAGATCATCGAAACCTTTTCAGATATATTCGTTGTTTAGACTGTTTAAAGAGAATTTATATACAAAACAAATTTACTTATCGTCTTAAAAAAGCAGCAATCATCAAAATGACATAAAAACGAATTTTCATATTAAGGAAAATTTCGGTTTACGATGGGAGTTCGTGTTATATAGGATTTGACTGTATACATATGTTAAAGTATATAATTATATAACATTTAATTTAAAGTAGAAAAGAAAGTTTAATTACGATTTTACTTTTGCTCCTGCTCCTTTCTCTCTTTATTTATATATATATATATATATATAAGTAGTTGAATATCCAATTTATTTTTTACGATATTAATGTTGATTGAAGAAATTTAGTTTGAAAAAAATGTTGATTGAAGACAAAATTTTTGATATTAAATCCATTTTTTACTTTATGATTTTTCATTATTAGATTTTCATGTATATATGTATATACATATGTATTACTATATATATATATATATATTTACATATATATATATATATATATATATATATATATATATATATTTGTATATATAAGAGATACATGTTTTATTTATTGTGTAAATTAAAGTACTGAGTATTAACATATAAATATTATATACGAGTATGAATATGAAAATATAATAAAAAGTGATTAAAATGTAATGGCACATACATAAAAAAAAGTAAAATTTACCATAAGCGGGTTTACGATAAAATATCGATATTTAACTACATAAAAATAATAAACCATACATAAAGACATGTTAAGGAAGCCCGATAATGTAATCGATATTTCGGAATAATGCGACTTATTTTGAGTATCAAATAGTGATAATTGTGAAGGGATAGTGATAATTATCGTAAAAAGTTTGAATTATTATTATGAACACAAACCAATTCATACAAATTATTCGTGTCTATAATTAAGTTTTTCAAATTGTTTTAACAGCTCTTAACGAGAAATACAAACACTTAAAACGCAATTTTCAGGGGTGTACAAAATTAATTTTTTTAAATTTATTTTGATTCCTCTAATAAATTTTCCTTTCACAACTTGATTTGAAATTGAAATCTTTGTTAATTAGGTTTATGTTAAGTATATATGTATATGTTAGGGGAATCTGACCCTCTTTCATTCTTTCTTCTTTTCATGTTTTTTATGCAATCCAATTCATCACTTTTTATATAATACAATAATTTTATTAATATTTGTGGTAATAAAATTTAATTAGTGAAATATTTTTGTATTCAAAATTAAGAACCAACAACATCCTGTTTTAAATATAATGTATCCATATATTATGTACGTTTACATATATTTATTCATAAATAAATAAAAATGTATGCATGTATATATATATTTATATATATGTATATTATACGTATAAATATATAAATATATTTATGTACATTTATTTTTAGTACAAAATTTTTCAAATCGTCAACTCTAATCGATCACCATCAAATACATACTCGTATATAGATCAGGTGAAAGCGTGACCCAACTGCGGCTTTTTGAAGAAATATTGGTACGCTTTGACCCCTTCAACGCTCTTGTTTGTTAATTAATGGTGTACCATTACTTTTATTCAATGTTTTAAACTATATATTTAAAGCTTAAAGTTATTCTAACTTCAAGCTGAAAGAATTTTTTTTTCAGTGATTGACCCTCAAATCATGCAAAAAGTCAACTGCGCAAAAACTTATCGTTTGTTTTGTATATGTAGCAGTCAAAAGTTTTTGCATATCTTTATCTAAGTTATTTTTTTTTTTTTGATAATGCAGATCTAGTACCTATAAATCATTAAAATATTTGTCTTACATATGTACAAGTGGTCACATATTATGTACAAATTTGTCTTACACATAATATAAATGGAAGTAAAGTTTAAAAATTTTTTAATTCTATAAAAAATATCTTTTTTCTCTATCTTGTGTTTATTAATTATTAAAAATTGTGTGAAATGTCTTGAAGTTGCAGTTGTATACAGTTTTCAGAAAAAAACCTAGTATTGCACTTCTATAATATTTTAAAAGAGCGCATTATTTTTTACATTTTAAACAGTTTTTAAGAAATATGTACACACTCTTTTATGTATCTGTAGTAGTACTAAATTAGTATTTAGTGCTAAGTTTAAAAAAAAAGTGGTGGTGGATTAGACACACTTTAAGGAAACATATAAGTAACATTGCCAGAATAAAGTTAGAGTTAAAATTTACAAGAATCGAGAAAGCCCGGTCACCCCAGAAATGCTTGTCGCAGATTTGTAAGAACAGGACTAGAAAGCGCAGGTTTGACATAGGATTAAGTTAAGAAATGGCAAACAACAGAACTAGTATTGAGTTAGCATCTAGTATTGAGTTAATGTCAATATAATACTAAAGTTAGAACTCGTTTTTAGAAGAACTTTAAATACTTTTGTTAACGTAAAAATACGTTAAGAATGCTTTATTTTGTTTCATCAAATCAGAAACTATGAAATGAGCTGAAGCTATTGTATATCAAAAATTGATTTACAATAATGGCTTTTACATATTTTGATAAATTAAAAACGGGGTGGGGGATAGGGGGGAGTATGAATTCCTACTGTCAATGACACTTCAATACTTTTATAATACATATATACATACATACATACATTTCTTATTTTGAATGAAATTTTTTTTTAATTTTGATTATTTTTTTACTTTAAATATTTTCTTTTTTGGTGTGTGCTCGTGTTTTTTCGCGCAATGAAATCTTTATGTTTTTGAATTTTGAAATATAATTAATATTGCCGTTATTTCTCATACTTAATATATTGATTTTTTTATTTTTTTTACACCATTTAAATATATTGGGGAATTTTTTTTAAAATTAAAAACCCCTTAGTTTTTTTATGTAATTGTGTTTGTAATTTTATCATAATAAAAATAATAATAATTATTTTTTACCTTAAAATCTAATTAATTTTATTTTTTTCTTTTATCTTTAATATTTTCTCTCAATCTTCTTAAATTTTTTTAAATTTCACCATTTTATTACTTAATTAAAAATATATTTTTAAATATATCACATAAATTGGGTTTAATTTTTTTTAAATTTTTTTTTAAATAATTTTTTCTTAATTATATATTTAATTTATTAAATTTAAATAAAATACACTTGCATTCTTTTTTAATTCAATTTATATTTTTTTTTCATTTTCAACTTTAATATTTTTAATTAAATATATATATATATATATATATATATATATATATATATATATAGAAAATATTTCAAATATATTTATGTACATTTATGTATATAAGAGCATTTTGTTATTATTTATCACACGATGACGACATTAATATGGTGGTTTTGTTTTGTAACCAACATGTTTTGTGTTTTGTATATTGTTTTGTCGTCGACACACCACAAAAATTACCGTCTTATCCATAATATATACCATGTACGTATGTATAATTTTTTTTGCTCTTGATGTATTTTTCAATTTCTAACTCAAAAATTATAATTCACCATATGAGCAAGAAGAAATTGCGCGCAGCAAGTTTTATAAAAAAATAGATTTTAAAAAAGAAAAATTTAATGAATTTTTTAATTTGCAATATAATAAATAAATCAATTGTATTACAATTATATAAGAATAACATTAACGGTATATGGATGGAAGGAAGTCGCAGGAGGGGGAAGGGTATAGATTGAGTGTTAGTGAATACTGAATAGTGAGTGAAATATTATGAAACCATAATATTAAATATAACACTACGCTTGTACTAAAATAGATTATATGGAAATAATTACAATAATTTTGTAAATATTTTTGGGCGTACGTCGTCATTTAACCCTCTTCATTATATTGTATGTCAAAAATTTGTTGAATATTTATAAATTTTGTATATATAAATGTAAAATTTTTCAAAAAAAAACCCGCACACTTGTAATGGTATATAGTTATTTGTATATGATTAAGTTTATTATATTGGAATAAAATAAAAAATTTATTTTAAAATTAAATTGAAATTTGAAGTAAATTAATAAAGAAATGGGCTGCTAGTCACCTATGTATATCAAAAACTATTGCATGCCTTACTTTATGATATCTACATATTCCTCCCAAGGAGGAAGTAAAGAAGACTTTATATGGTACTTTTCATATAATATACAGTTTTCAACAATTTGACATTAGTCATATATAAATAACACTTTTAATAATCATATTTTGACGTTTCAATAATGATTTCGCCCCTTGAAAATAATATCGCAACTCAAAATAGTTAATTTTCTATCTTGAATTGTAGTTGAAATACAAAACATTATATTTTGCTCCAACGAACATTCCTTGTATCTTGAAAACTGCAACTATTATTTTTTGAGTTCAACTTTTTCCACTTTTTATAAGTGCTTTTTTTTTTGTTAAATTCAATACAGCTTTATTTCGAGATATCATTTAAATTCAGAAAATGATCCTAATTTAAACCCACGACATATTTTTCATAATTTGTTTTGCAAATGCAAAAAATTTTGCAACGAAATGTAACTTTATTTTTCATAATATATAATCAATAATTATAAATATTCAGTGTTATATTCATTTAAGTAGAATTAGAAATATTTACAACCTCTTAAGATAGAATTCAAATTTAATAATTACAATTTTATAAGATAATAATCGCTAAATGAATTCAAATATTTCATTACTAATTAACAAAAATGTTATTTTGTTGTTTCACCAACCATTTTTTGGTATCACTATATTTCACTATTATTTATATTGTACTGTTTTCAACTTCAGCCCGGTATATGTATAATATAGTCCAATATCGTAAATTTAATAATAAAATACAAGTGTGATTGCTTTAATCATATTTTTAAAGTATAATTAAAATTAAAATCACTGATTATATAATTATAAATTTATTAAATATCAAATTGCAAATTGGGTAAATATAATCAGTTATATAATATTTATTATACAACATTGTATAAATAAATTAATAACATCTCATTCAAGTGCTCCAAAAATTTAATTTCAGCTATTAGCGTTATAAATGAAAATTGTACATTTTAGTACTACATATGAATACCGCGGTATAAAATAGAATTAAAAGTTGCGACGGGAAATTTGAATATTATTTTTATTTTATAGAAAATTATACCACAAGTCATCAATTCGAAAATTAGTTAATTTTTGGAATAAATTCAATATATTTATACTTTATTTTTGATTTTTTCCCATTCAGTATATTTTGACTACATTTTCACATAACATAATCAAATTGAATTTAAATTTGAAATTTTATATTCATTAATAATTAAAAACTTTAACAGCACTTTTGAATAAAATCTATAAATTCACTGAAAAAATAAAGAATACGTTTGAATGATGCATTGAAAAATTCTATTGAAATTGAAATTTGCTCAACTGATTTATAAAATCTAGCAACTGAAATTTTCACTATATTCTATTAAAACAATTTTTTAATAATTCTTTTTGATTTTATATTGAATTTTTTTTTTGTTAAAATACACATTATGATGTTAAAATTAATATTTAATAAAATGCCGTAAAACGAGTGCGAAAATGCCGCAATCTAATATACAAAAAATTTCATTTTGTAAAATTGTATAAGTTTTTCTTATTTAGCTGCATATATTTTATAATATAAGCTCTTCGGTTGGCAGAAGTATAACAAGGAGCTTCTGTTGATTAAAGTTTCAACAGTTTTTTGTTTTTTTTTTTAACTTTTCCCAACAACGAATTATCGCCGTAGATATTGTTTTTCTGCTTCAAATAACTAACAAACATATTGACATACACGACTGATTGAGAGTTTTATCGTCACCGTCGCCAAAATTTATTACTTATTGCCTTTAATTTTCTCTATATTTTTATTATATTAAAAAAAAATTTTTTTTAATTAATATAATATAAACAATTCAATTTTAAAATACAGCTTGATTCTCCACTTCTCTTATATCGTTAAAACTCTTTCGCACCCTCTCCTCCTCCACTCCTCCTAACTATATTTTATTTTAAAAGAATTCTTCTTTAAAATAACACTTAATAATTTTCATTAAGCGGATATAATGTTAAAGCAGATATTATTTTAGGATATAATCCTTAAAATATATTCATATATATGTACGTATATACGGTATAGTAAAAGATTTTAAGGGTGGGGGTGGGCCCAGGGGGAGAATTTTTGTAAATATTGTTTACAAAATTAATTAATTTACATGTTTACAATTTAATTTAATTTCAATTTTTTTTTTGTTTATTTTTTTTGTTTTTGAATTTTGCAATTTTTATAAATTAACCTAAAATAACCCCATCCCTCCCCCAAGTTTTTTAGAAAATTTATGGCGGCAACAAACACATGAATTGAAAATTATTTTTTGCTAGTAAAACCCAGTGTAAACGGATTTAGTCCAATCATTTACTTAAGTTATAACAAAAAAAAAACACTGTTCGAAGGGGGATAGGAGTGCGGGCGGGAGGAATGGAGTGGCGGGATGGAGCAACAACAAATCAAAATCAACAACAATAGATATTAATATCACAATAAGAAATCACACGTTTTATACAATAAAAAATTTCAAAACATTTTTTTTGAACTCTAATTTTTAAGGTTTCATCTGGACTATCAAACTAAGTTATTATTATTTTCGGGATAAATAGAGGAGAATAACGGGAAAAAAGAGTAAAAATAAAAAAAAACATACTTTTTTTAAATTTTTTTTTTTAATTATTTTTAAAAAGATTTTTGACACTCTCTAATTTTATTTATTTATTTTATATTTTTAATTATTTAATATCCACACGTTTTTTTATGTATATTTATAATATGTATATATATTTGTAGGTACGTAAATATAATTTGTAGGATTTTTTTTTGATATATTTTCCTTTTTTTTTACTTTTTACTCTATTTTTTTATTTTATTTATTTTATATTTTTAATTTTTTATATTTAAATTTTTTTGTACACGTTGAATTTTTTTATTTTTTTTTAATATTCAAATATAATATATAATATGTGTGTATATGTTTTATCTATTATTTTTTCAAAAAAAAAAAAAAAAAACAAAAAAAAAACTAAAACAATTTTTTTGTAATAAAATTATTTTTTTTTTTTGTTAATCTTATTTTGCTATTATTGTTTTATTTATATTGTGTGTTGTGGACTCGGTCGTATCGCGATCGTATCGACACATAATCATTACACATTTACACCACGAGTACAATTGACTACTATGAACATGATATTTTTTTCAAACTTGTGAAAAACTATTAATAAAAATTGTTTTTTCCTATCATCAAGCAGCAGCACCACCAACAACACCAGTGCCACCAACCATCATATACTCGAACTCGAGGGTTCTTCGCTTTTCTTCTTCAAGTTCTTTTATATATAAAATTTTTATTTTTTTTTTATTCGTATTTTAGACGATGAAAATTGAAAGCACACAAAAGCAAAAACAACACAAATGCAAATATATATGTATATGTTCATAAGAGAGAACAAAAGGTAAAAACAAAAAAAAAAGAAAATAATTTTTTTGATTTTTTAAACATATAAAATGTCTATACATAAACATTGGGAATATATACAAAATATACAATATGTAAACAAAAAAATAATAATAAAGAAAACCCGATGAAGAAGAACAAAAATATATGAAAAATATGGCGCAACCATATATAACACATATAATATATAACTACTTTTTATATCACTACAGCTTCAAAACTGCTACTACTTCTACTCTATGACTATTTTACCACACAGCCGCTACTATAACACTTCTACTAACTACTGATTTGCTACACAGAACATCAACTACATAATAAATAACTTTGTCGCACGCGTATGTACATATGTATAATAAACTTTTATAACCTTTATCATAATAACTCCCCTCTGTCTTTCCTTCCATCTACGCTTTCTTCCAATATATGTAATTTAATAGTAATTATTAAAAAATTACCAAATTTTTGAAAGACATTAAAGACATATTATATTACAATTATTATATGTTATAATATTGTATGTGCATGTAGTAGGATCCAGAAATAATTACCTAAAAAATTTCTTATGCAATAAAAAAAAACGTGCCATTATTTTAATTAAATGCTTGTTAAAAAATTAATAACGTGAACTGTAAAAAAAACTCCCTCCCAATGCGATGATGAATATATAATTTACACAATTAATTATTCTTACTTAGAAATTACACAGTTATTATAATATAATAACATAAGTCAGCATTTATGATTTGTAATTCAGCTTATGATATAAATACCATATAACTGCAATTTTGAAATTAGGGTTAATTTGGTTTACAACAATCATCAATATATGGATTACCTTAAAGTTGCACATAATATTTCAAAAAGAAAATTTTAAAAACAAGAAACTGTTATGGTAAACTACATAAATTTTTAGTTTCTCAAAATGACAGCCGCGCTTCTAAGCATTTATGTGGTTTGGCAATTTACTAAAATAAAATTTTTCAAGTTTTGCTATTCCTCAAAAGGTGGCCTAATTATAAAAACGAAATGTTATTTTAAATTTATTTCATATTTATCGTAAAAATTTATCATGTACACAACCTTATTTTTTGACATAAAATAAACACAATGTACATGTATCGTAAATTTTTGAAAATAATATAAATAAATCCATTTTTTGTTATTACACTGTACAAAGAAGTTGATTTTAATTTTATAGTTTTGTGAAATTGCTGTCACAGAATTTGCGTACAATTGTACACAAAGCTGTTATTATTGATTCGGATGACATATTTATTTATTGAAATAACGGAAAAATCAAACCTTTTGAAGGTAGAAGTGGCAATTTATATAAATATAGAAACACCAGTGTTTTTTCGTAACAATGAAATTACAAACACATATCATATTTTTTATGAAGAAATCATAAAATTACAACAATTGAACTCATTAGTTTTGCTTGCAGGGTTAGAGCTTATTACAACAACCAATAACTGTTCGCTTATTCATGTAAAGCAGAACAACAAGCGTATGTTATGCATAGTTAATCGTTTCTTTACCAGTTTCGATTTATGCTGCCATTAAGAAATCTTTATCTTAAAGTTTTAAAAGGGTATTTTTTTTTTCTCAAAATTCGGGATATGTTACATTTAGATTATATGCTAGTTGTAACATACATACATATATGCATATTAATGATAGATTTCTTGTGAGGTTACCCCGAAAATTATGGCTCAAATCAAATTGATTGTAAGACCAAAAATAAAGAACAATCAATCGCCTGTAAAACAAGCTCACGGTTACTATAATATTGTACGGTTCCGAAATTATAAGCATTTATTTATATGCAGGAAAAGTCTGATACCTTTTTTTTCAACAGGCTGTAGCTCGAAAACGAGTATATCTGAAAGGTATTTATTTGTAATTTAATTTTGGAGTGCAAAATATCTACTGCTTTCTTATGTCACTTTTAATTCTTGATTTGATCTTCACACAACGGTAACACGTTTCTTTAGCGTAAGTATTTTGTTTTTTTTTCTCAATTTTCATTCATTTGTTTCTTTTTTTCTCAATTTCAGTATTTTTTTTTTGTGATGCGCGCTACCGAAAAAAACCATCAATTTATTCGATAACTATAAAAAATTCATTTATTCGATTGTTGTACAAAAAATATTCATTCGATAGTTTTTCATTTTCAAAAAATTTAAACTAAATGTAAAATAGTATTAGTGTGAAATTTATTAAATTTTCTGTTAACAATAACTATGTAAACCAAGATTTAAATGAAATCCATGTATATACGCACTTAGTATACATGTTACAAGAGCAACCGATAGCATTTTTATTAAGAAAAATGTAGATTTATTCGAGCAATTTTTATATGGAGGAAAATGAAAACTATCGAAGATTTTCGGAATGGAAAAAATATATAACCCTGTATAATAAAAACTATATTTTGTGATATAGAATATATCGACAGTTTCTTTATTATGAAAAACGTATGAATTATTTGCTTGATAAACTTTTTACGGAGGAAAAAAACTTATTAAATAAAACTTAAACTATTGACAGCTTTTATACAAATAATGTATTGACCAATGTATGTATTTTTTAAGTTTTTTTACCCTTAAATGTAAAATTAAATAGTGAAAAAATTTAAAATTAATAATAAATAAATTTTTGTAGTTTAATTTTTGTATTTTTTTTATAATATTAAAACGAAACGATATTGGAAATAAAAAAACTGAGGGATGACAGAAAATATGAATGTATATACGCGCGTACTTCCCAATGAACAAAAAAATTAGTTAAATTCCTTCGAATAAATAATATTATTCGACAGTTGCGATCAATCAGTTACTAATTACCGAAACTTCACTCAATAGTTCCCATCACTACTTGTTTTGGTCATGTACCAGAAAAGAGTAAGAGAGAGAAGGATGTATAAACGTATAGTTATAAAAGCATTGTGTATAGTGACTTTGTGTGTGCATTTATTTGCGTTCTCTTTGAAATAGGAAGGTTTTCATTTTATTTTTTTTTTTTTTTTATTATAAAGCTACGACAAAAAAGTTGCAATTTTGTCCATTTTTTGACAGAACGAAAACATTATATTTTTTTTGTATTTTTATTTTAAGCAAAATTAAAAATTAAAATTTTAAAATTTGAAAATTTTCATAAATATTGGATTAATTGAGTTAGGATTGGGTCAATATAAAAAAAAAATTTTTAAAAAAACTCATTTTGGCTCACAAGTAAGTAGAAAAAATAAAAGAATAAAAAAAAAAGAAAAAATAACCTCAAAATTTGTTTAGAGGGGCACCCATCCAACCTATACCTATCCTTTAATTCTTAGGTGGTCTTTTAATTGTTTAGTTTTCTTAATAATTAACATTCTGAAACTTGGTTATATTTGAGTTTAATACGGTAAAATGCATTAAGACCAAAATTGCTATAATTCAATAAAAAACATTAAACAATAAAAAGTGTAAATACATAATTTTTGAATTCTGCAATTTTTTTATGAAAAATAGGTACAAAAATCAAAAAATTCAAAATGAGTACTACACTGAATGAGTCAATAAAACAATTAATGGAAATAACAGGTGAGATTTATCTTACAAAAAAACCTTTTTCATTTTATTTAAAATGATATTATATTTATCAAAAAAAAAAAGAGTGGTATTAACAATAATTTTTATTTTTTTGCTATAATTAAGGGCTAGATGAATTGAGAGCAAATACTATCCTTGAATTGAATAATTTCAATTTGGAACAGGCAATTAATTATCATTTGGAAAATGCAGATTATATGGATTGTATATTAAATGATTCTGATTATAATAATATACAAACAAATAATGAATCTCGTATAATAAATAATAAAAATGAAATAAATAAAAAAAATAAGAATACAGATATTGCGTTAGATAATAGTAATGATACAAGTTATGTTAGTGAAAATGCTTCATTACCAGATATTATAGAAAATCCAAATGGTATATTTTCATCTAATACAATATCTGGCAGTAATTTAATTTTAGATGATAATATACGTGCACCGATTCCATCAAAACGTGAACAATTATTATTACCAGAAGAAGATCAATTTCGTTTACATTATGGTAGTGTTAATTCAAGGAAACGACGACCAAGTAGTTTGTTTACATTTTGCCCATTTAGAGATTTCGCAAGAGAAGCACAAATTCAAGAACAATTATCAGAAGAATTTAATAGTCTAGCATCATATGATACTATTGATTCATTAGCAACAACATCATCAATTAATAATCATAATACTGCTGGATTGTTAAATATAAATTTAAATGATAATGGTGAAATAATTAATAAAAAGACATCACGCCATAAAAAAAGATCATATATTAGTAATAGCAATAATGATTTTGATATTAAAGATAATACTGATAAAACATTAATAAGAGGTACTAAACGCAAAAGATTAGAAGATTTATTTCGTCCGCCAATTGATTTATTATATTGGGGCACATTTCAAGCTGCACGGGATCATGCTGTAAATCTTAATAGATGGCTTATTGTTAATTTACAAGATCAAAGAGAATTTAAATCACAAGTTCTTAATCGAGATGTTTGGTCCGATAAAGATATTAAAGATATAATTTTATCAAATTTTGTTTTATGGCAGGTAAGAAAATTAGAGAACATTTTTGTGGTTTAAATAATAAACAAAACCATTATTTTTAAGATATCAATGGAAAATCCGGAAGGATTACGTTTTAAAACTTTTTATCATGTTTCGGATTGCCCATACATTTGTATAATTGATCCAAGGACAGGCGAAGAAAGACTTACTTGTGATACAACAAGACCAAAAATTCTTTATGATGACCTCATGAAATTTCTTACAGAAAATGATTTTTGTTTAGACTTGGTAAATTATTAATTTTAAAAAAATTTAAATTTTTTATTGTATGTACTTACATGTTAATAACAGAAAACCTTTTTTTTTTAATTTCTTTTTGAATTTTGTAGAGTTTAAAAATTGTAAGACCTGTTACTTCCCGAACTGCTTCATCTACAGCAACAAGTAACAGTATTTCAACAACAATTCCATCACCTACAACGATAAATTCCAATAAAAGTAATAGTAATAATAATAATAATGTAATTGATATTGGTTGCTATAATAAAAACTTTAAATCAAAAGCATATAAAACATTAGATTTATCCGAAGAAGATCAATTAGAATTAGCAATTAAAAATTCACTAACAGAAACACAGTGCTCCACATTAAATGATTTAAATACGGACTGCAATGATAAATTTTTAAATAAATTAAACCAAACTAAAAGCAATAACTCTGCCTCTTTAAATAATATAAATGAAAGCAATGATTTTATTCATTCTCATAACAATGGACCTCCAAATATAAATAATTCAAATTATACATCAAATTTAAATGAGCAAATAAATGAAAAGTCTACTATAGTTTCATATAAAGATTTGATTGGAAATAACAAAGGTATTCAATATTAAAATATCAAATGAAAGTTTTAAATTTTACTTTATAATTTTTCTTTTTAGATTCAATTACAAAAATTCAGATTAGATTACCAAATGGTACAAGAAAAGATATTGAATGGCCATCTTCAAGTGTAGTAAAATGCTTAAAATTATACGTTTGTGAGAAATATCCAGATATTACAAATAATACATACAAATTAATACAATCGTATCCGCGAAAAAATATTCTTGAATTAGAAGACAATGTTACATTGGTTGAAGCAAAGTTACATCCAACGTCTATTTTATATTTGCATCCAGATGAATAAGTTTTCTTTTTTTGACTATATATACATAAGCATAAATTTTTTTTATTTGGTATCTCCCAAATCAATATTTTGAGATGATTTATGATAAAAGTGTCTGTATATTTAGAAAGTTATTAATTTTTCCTCCTTTTTTTATTTATTTCACTTTAATTAAGATTCTGTAATCAAGTATAACAAATGAATTTTTGTGTTAACACAAATAAAATGATCATGTATGTATTTAATTTTGTAAATGGCTTGAACATTCAAAATAAAAAAATAAAATTTTTGTAATCACTTTTTAAAACCAAACAAAAAACGAAAATAATTGTTTTTATTGTTTGAAACATTTGTAAATTTTAAAAGGAAATCTACGCCATTATTTAATTCTACGGCTTCTAAAATTATCGTTCTTTCAAAAAAAAACCCCCGGCCGTTATCTTGAAGCGGAAAACATCGTTTGATTTGTATTTCATAATGATTGTCATATTAGTACCAGTGTTGTTAATTTTAATACAATTGTAGTATTTTACTAAATTTTGGTATTCTATACTACTATACTACTGTAAATCCATTTTTATTACTTTTTTACCTTTATACTAAAATGTTATTATTTGCATTGGTTGATGAAAATGCCATTATTGTATTGTTTAAAAAACCACTTGCACAAAAATAAAGAGACCTAAAAATATATTTTTTTAAAACAAATTTTTTTTATATAAAATTTTTGTTTTTCTAAAATTAAAAATTATTTTCCAATATTGTTTATTGCGCTTTACGCAATATGTGAATTGACAGTAACCAGATTAATTTGACACAAAACAAAAACAATGAAAAAACACAAATAAAGTGTACCTTATCGAAATTATCAATACATTGCGTAGGCGCGTAGCTCATTTGGGTGACTTAATTTTACATGTAGGAATATAAAAACATTTGTACGCAAGCACTTCCTGCTTCAATCTATTTATTTAGATGTCTTACTATTTGTTTGATGTTAAGTATAACCCCAAATTACTACGCTAAAACTTTCCATACTACCTTTTTTAAGACAAAATGCTACTGAAAAACAAATTGAAATTAACAACACTGATTAGTACTCTTATTATGATCAGCGAATCAAATGAGTAGACGCCAGATTAAAAGTGTTGCTACCGTAAGACATCAAAAAACTTACCGAAAATTATAACGTTAACACCACACATACATATGTACATGCAAAAACAATTGAATTTCTCTATTTCTTTAGCAATATTAATTTAATAAAATGCTCGAATTGTTCTTGGTCATGCTTAATTATAACAACACGTCAACAAAATAATTTGTAGAATTTTATGAACTTTGTTTAGAGATAGTTTAGATATTTTTATTAACAATAATATAACAATATTTGCTATAATATAAAATATAAAAAAACACTTACATACATACATATGTATTATTTTGATTTTTGGTTCCATTCGCAAAAATGAAAAATTCACACAGAATTTTCATTCAACATTTCATCCGCCTAAAGTTTAGGCGGATTCGGTAATCATAATACCAAAAACTCATATTCGCCAAAATTTTCATTCGCTCATAATAAGGACCTAGATAGGATAAACTAAATTATAGCTTACTGAACTTTACGCGTTTTGATTAAGTGGTTTTTCGATAACGATTTTGCTCCCCAAATTTGGCCCTCTTAAATATTAAGTTCCAACAAGATTTACAAGATAACCAGAAATTATAATCTAATGGTCAAGACAACTAAAGAAGAATTTATTGAAAATAAGGTAAAGAATTGTAGAGGATGCAGTAAAGAAATGTGTACATGTTTGGAAACTGGCGAAAAAGAACAATTTTGTTATTGCGATATTTTAAACTTTAAACAGCCTTCGAAACTGTAGACAGGAAAATTTAAAAAATATAGCGTGGAAAATATAGAACTCTAGTGGTTTTAATTTTTCTTCAAAACAGAACGCGAGAAAACAAATACTCGTGAAAATTTTTTAAGATCAGAATTGATAAGCGATGCTGTGCCACAGGGAATAGGATATATTAGGAGTTGTATGTTTTTCTCTTACTCTTATTTAAATTAATGTCAGAAATATCTAGGAGCTAATAAAGACTTAAAAAATTTATTTTAATTTTAGGTTAAGCTAAATTTAGATAAAACGAAATGAATGGTATTTAATAGAACTGATGATACCGCCAAAATAAAAATGAATGATGAAATAATGGAGGAGGTTCAAGTTATTAAATACCTAGGTGTGTAGATCGACAATAAACTGACTTCAGATAACCATGCAGAATATAAGTGCAACAAAATAGCGCAAAAAATTTAATATCTTGGTAGAATTCCAAATAGTAGAAGCTGCAACAACAATGTAAAATATTATGATTTTGCCTTATTTTGTTTATTGCTCTTCACTCCTATTTATATGTATTGAAGCTAAAAAAGACAGACTGCAAATTTTACAGGACAAGGCATGCGAGTAATGTTAAAATGTAGTAGGAGAACAAATATAAATTACATGTTAGGTAAACTGCGGTGGGTGCCAGTAAAGCAAAGGCTAAAATTCAACATCTTAGCTTTTATATTTAAATTGAAAAATGACATTTTACCTGACTATCTGACTGAACTAGTAAGTTATGTGGGAGACTCAGTAAACTACAATTTAAGATCAACAAGCTTGTTTAGACTACCACTCTTCAAAAGAAATAATACGCAGACAAACATTTTTTATATGGGCTTCAGTTATTTAAATGAATTACATATCATCATCAATAAAAAAGAAATTATGGTTAATATAAATAGTATTATTTTATACTAATAAAAAATAATAAAAAAAAATTGGCAATTTTTTTCTAAAGTGCAGCACTTGATTTCAAAAATACTACCATACATTTTTTGTGACTGGTCAGTGGTAGTATTAAAACTTAAAGTTATTCTCTGTTTTACACCTTGTATGTGTTGTTGTGTTGCTAAAAAAAAATTCGCTTTTGCAAATTCAAATCTAGATAACCCAACAAAATCAACTTAATTGCATCACATAAAAGATGAAATTACATACTACATATCTTTATATAAAAAAGAAATAAAAATCACGTTTTTAAATTAAAAAAAAATTATATACATAATTATATTTTAACATATTTGATTTTTATAACATTTTAATAAACATTTTTAATTTGGTAATCTTTTTTTAATTAATTTTTCTAATTTCTTTATTCGTCCGCGATCATTTTGATTGCTACTATTTGCCATATTTTGAGAAGTTGAATTTGATGAGGCTGTTACGACAGCATGTCCGACTGCCGAACTAATTTGTTGTACACCAGAAATACCGCCACTTAATATTGATGCAAATTTACTTTTATGATTTTCATTTAAATTAATACCAGTTTTATTAGTATTATCAAAATTTGTTGAAATAGATTTGTAGTTAAGATCATTTTCATTATTATCAAAAATGATATCATTTGTAGAATTATTTATATTAATGTTGCTATTATTATTATTATTAGATGAAACATCAGATGCTGTTATAGATGATGATGATGATGCTATAACGTTATTTTCTTTAATTTCTGGCATAGCTTTCTTAAATATTTCAATAAGATTCAATTGATCGGTACGTTTTAAACCTTTCATATCAAGTATTTTCTGATATTCCTGAACTGTAATTTCTGGTAATAATTTTAAGATTTGATTATTAAAATTTGTATGAGGCTGAATTGGTGTCATTACAGTTTTAATTATCATTTCTGCATGAGTCATTCCTTTAATTACAACTTTCGTATAAGATGTTGGCGCTTTTCGATTAATTTGTGATCCAATTGATGGTAAATCTAACAATATTGTTTTTAAACTATGTGTATCTAATAATAATTGTTCACACCCTAGTATATTGTTTTGCCCTTCTGAATTTGTTAATTTACATTTGTATATATTATTAAGAAATTTTGGAATGAATTGATTTATAAATTTATGACAAAATTGTGTATAATATTTTCTTGACGATGATAAGTTATCACGTATAATTGGTATTGTTTGCTTAAAATTTTGATTCATTGAATTAACAAATGAACTTTGATCACCCACATTAGTAATATTCTGCCATTGAATCTAAAAAATTTTAAGAAAAGTATATATAGATATATAAATACAAAACTATCATAGGTCTTCCTCACTTTACTCATTATTGTAAGAGCCGGTTCACATCCATTTTCCAAATCTTGTACCATTAATTGAATACAAGTTGATATTATTCTGTGATAAATATCTTGTTCCTCTGACAAATCAATTTTATCAATGTAGAAATTGTCAATTTTTTCCTTTAATTTGTCTTCTAGCTGTTGAACTGTTTCAAGACAATATTCGGACGTTGTTAGAACACAACAAATGCGTATCAGCTCATCCTTAGCTAATCTACGAATTCACACGTAAACCACGTATATATAATTTTCAAGAAAATAATTTTAATTTGATTATATTGATCATATATTGATAGTATGTAGGTACCTATGAGATTCTCCCTCCTTTAGAAAATTGTGAATTACTTGACCAGCTGCTGTTGATAAATTTTGTAAATCTCTAAACGACATAGTACCACCCAATGCACTTTGTGTTGAAGTTGATTTTGGAATGTTAGATTCTAATACTTTTGATGCATACTCTCGTAAATATTTTTTGAATATCATAGCCAAATCATACATTGGCTTTGAATTGCTTAGGTGTGAACATTGAACCATGCATTTTTTATAAAAGACAAATAAGTCTGCACAACTATATTTAAAAAAAAATAATAAAACAAACGTAACTTATAAAAAAAAAATTTTTCAATGCAAACAAAATGTAAAAATACCTTGAAAAAACAGTTGATCCAGCAGCGATTGGATCAAAATATTCATTTGCTTGTTCAACAAATCTATCTAATAGTTCTGTTAAATTTCTATCAATACTTTCTGTATATATATCCAAATGACTCTTGAAACAAACACCAATTATATCCGTAAAGCCATTGTTGAGTTCATAATCTACAAAAAATTGAATATTGAATGATTCAATATAAATCTTTATTTGATAACATAGTTTTTCGGAAATTAAATGTTGAGAGCTTTGAAAAAAAATAATTTACCTTTGTTTGAGGAAATATTTTCTTCTTTTACATTTTTCTGTTGATCATTTTCTATTAATGTTGTGCCAGTAAAACGTTTCGCCAATAATTGTTCAAAACTTTGTGTTTTTGTCATAGCAAATAATAATAATTTCACATCAATTTCATTTCGACGTTTACTCATTATTTTTGAAAGTTCATCTTTTGTTATATTACAAAATTGTACTGTTATTCTTTCGGAAACTTCCCAATCAATTGGAAAAATTGTTCCAAATTTTCCCTCAAAATCAAGTAAATGACGTTTTAACCACGCATATCTTTTATCAATTTTGTCTAACCAAGCTATATCTTGATTTTCGTGAAATAACTGAATGTATTCTTCTAACTGGAGATCTGAATTGAACAAAAAAAAAGAATATTGAAAATAACATAATAAGTTAGTCATCTTGTTTTTGTTTACTTAAAAACCATTTTAGTAAATCCTTTTTCACTTTAGGATCCAGAACAGATACTACTTTGCATGCATCTGATAGTTGAGCTAGTGGAATTTTAGGTGAAGTTACATTTGGACCAAAATAACTATGAAAATCTTCAGTAATTTCTGCAGATAATGTGCGTTGAATTTGATTTACAGTATTTGATAAATCCTTTAGTAAAAAATTAGTATTCAAATAAATTTTATTTTATTTTTTAAACTGTAAGTACCTTTATTTGTGATACATTGCAATATTGTTGAAAATGATTATTAACTTCAATTATTGCTTGAAGTGGATTTAAAATTTCGCCATATAAACGTTTTTCAATTAATTTATTTAAACTTTCAACACCACCAACAAGCATATGTAAATGATTTAATGTTGTTATAGCCGTTGTTAAATTACGTTTTGCGCAATCTAATTGTTTTATATCTCTTGTTATTTCTTTTACCATTTCTTCTGTTTGTTCTGCACGATTTTGTATATCACTTATTTGTAAACACATTTGATTTATTGTCTTTTGTGCTTCATCTAATGCTAAACGACCATCCTGACTAACATTAGTTTGACCACGTACAACACTACGTATATTATCATCAATTACAGTAACTTCACATTCCATTTTTGAAATAACTTCATCAATATTTGATAATGATTGTTCATTTGGAAATAATTGATTGATATAATCAACAGCATTAAAATCTGGTGAATCCAAAGGATCATTACTTTGTAAAACCTTAAAAATGTTAAATATCCATTAATTCAATAATATTCCATTGAAAATTAAAGTTTAATTAATATAAGTAAAAAATTTGTTTTAATTAATCAATTAATTTCAACCTGATCAATAGCTGTTTGTACATTATTTGAAAAAATTATTCTTCTTGATTGTAAATCTTCAATATTCAAATCATCTACTCCTTCAGCTAATTGCAATAAACGTTGTATTTGTTTATCATCATTTTCAATTGAATTTTCACGAGAATTTCCTTGATTCACCTGATATGCCATATTTAAAATATACTTTTATCTAATTGGAATTTGTATATATTAAATAAACTTATTAAAATAAATAATTTAATTTCGTATTAAAAACTTTTCGCAAAATTGATTTTTATTATGAGAAATTTATACGTAGGTACTTAATAGACTTAAAATTCAAAGTTATTTCTATTCTTCCTTTTCTTTTGCGTAGGTTCTTACGAAATTTCAATTCATCGCAATTTAAGATTTTAAAAAATCAAATTAATATTTCTTGAAAATCTATTTTACCAAATTGAAAACATGTTCTCAAAATTTTTTTCACACTTTAAGTTCGTTACATATAACATATTATGACGAAATTGTCAATTTATTTGACATTCAAAAAAATAATATCAAAATGTCAAAACATTACACAAAACAAAATGTCTACAAATTTGTTTTGTAATAGAATGGCTAAGTTTATGCTAGTATAATATTTAAGATTGACCAGAAAATTGTAAACTAAAATAGTACAAGTTTATTAAAAATGCTAGAATTCAAATAGAAAAATGATTCAGGGAAAAGTCAAATACAGAGTCAGCAGTAATTGATGTGATAACGTACAAAAATTAAAAGATGAGATAAAAATAGTATTAATTCTTTTTATTGACTTAACAAAATCTGTCGATACTGTTGATCATAACATTTTACTGAAAAAAATCTACAGGGACGGTATTAAGGTTTTACTAAAGATTCAACTCATTTTTAAACGATCCCCTTTTGACACAAGCGTCAAAAAAATAGTAAACTTTGGTGTTGCACCGGAGAGTATTTTAGGTCTAATACTTTTTAAAATATTCATAGACGATATAGCTGACACTAAAATAGATGCTAAAATAGTACTATACGCTGATGATGTTTGTTTTATTTTCGGCGCTAAAAATTATTGTAAGTTGCAATTAAAAATGATTCGTGAAGTTGAAAAGATTAAGTTGTAGATAGAATATCAAAAACTAACTATCAACGCAAAAAAAAAACTGAATACATGGTTATAAATGCTTTTACATCGTTACTGAATAATTCTTCATTCTTCATTGGAATACAAACAGCCTTAGTCTACACAGAAACGAACTTAAAACATTTATGAATGAAAACAACATTGCAATATTTATATATACAACTACATATTTACTTTATTTTACAAATCATCCAAACGGCAAAGCTCATGGTGGCTCCGGAATTTTAATAAGAAAAAACATCAAACACCAGGAAATAAATATATATATAACGGGTCATATACAAGCAACCAGTATTGTAATAGAAGATTGGGCTGGTCCTATTGCAGTTTCAGCAATATATAGTCCGCCCATAAATACCTTCGCTTTACACCTGGAGAAAACTTTTCTTCCAAACATTTTAACCAAGTTTTTAGAAGCACCTCTTCAGATGGATTTTCTTATTAAAAAGATCAAAAAACACGAAATTAAAAAGGTAATAAAAAATCTTGACCTGAAAAAGTTCATTCATTTCAATAATTAAAAGAAATATTTATTCAATAGTGCAAAATATAGTTATAACAAAATTTTTAACTTATCCTTCTTCACTCCTGTTATGATTTTGACAATACTCGGAACGAAGAAAGAGAGGACTAGAAAATTTTGGTTTTATTGTTTTTTCAAGATGCTCGTTCCTTTAGTATTTCTAATTCGTTGCGTTAAATGTTGTTTTTTTTTTTGTGTATGCGCATACTTCGTCTATTGTAACAGTCATTTTATAGAAATTAAGTGTTCAGGCAGACACGTAATTTTCAGTTTTCCAACTGTTTGATTGCATGTTTGTATTCCATAGTTTAATATTCAAACGCGCACGCATGCAACTGTGCAATCACCTGCATTTAAACAATCAAATAGTTTACAAACCGATTGCAATATTTAGATAACGCAATCGATTTGAGTTGACGCAATAGTTTAGTTGATTAGATATTACAATCGAGCAGTACTTGCAAAATTACATTTCTTCCTGAATCCTAGATATTTACATATTAAAGTATTATATAACAATTGCATAGTTTTTGTTCGAAAATATTTCTTCACGTTCTTCTCTCAAAAATGATATCAAAAATTTCAACGGATTATACACCCCTAGCCTTTTTGAATTTGTGAATTACTTTTATTTCGTCTTCCTTCTAATTCCAGCCCTTGTTTGCATAAAAGAATATAAAACATAAAATTTATGATATTGACATTTACAAATCAAATATTCTATTACATTTTGAATTTCTATGTTAAATTGTCATTTTAATATTAATTGACAGTATTTGCCTTAAATGTGTGTACTGTGTAGTGTAAAATAAATTGTGTGAAAAAATTAAAAAACTTTTTGCGAAAGAGAAAAATTAAAAACAAGATTTCTAAATAAGATTTTTTTTTCAAATTTCATACAATTTGTGTACTTTGTGTAAAATATAAAAAAAAAAAAGAATTTTATGAAATTCAAATGTAAGCTTTTCATATTTTAAGAAAATTTGGGGTTGGTATGGGTTTGAAATTTGGTGTTCTTTTTTTAGTTCTTAAATAAATCAGAAAATTTTAAACGTGAGTTTTGAAAATGTTAAAAAATAATTATTTTAAATTTATGCTCTTGTACTAACTGTAGAGCTAAAAATTTTTCTGTTTTATTTTATTGATTGAGATTTATTCAGAAAAAAGAAGAAAAAGTACAAAAAAAAAGAAATACATTGGTATTGTTTGAAATTTCAAAAAAAAAAAAGGGAATTTTTTCCTTGTAAGGTTTTTTTTGTCAAAAAGTTCTTAAAAAAACAATGAAAGGGTGTTTTTAAAAAAATTTTATTTCATTATTTTTTTATTGAAATTTTAAAAAATAAGACTTTAATTTAGCATCCAAACAACAATAACGAAGAAAAAACACGCTAAAAAGCGAGGATTTCATTTCTTTAATTGTCATATTTTTAATAAGTACACATATACACGTGCACACATATATACTTTTATAATATTCTCGTAGAGCCATTGTAAATTGTTATATTTGTAAATATATATAATTTGCACATATGCAAGAAGAACACAATAACAAAAAAATTTATAGAGTTGAAAGATTGGCGATAATTAGTGTTGCGATATTAAGATTTCTGAATTTCTCACAACAAAATAAGACGTTAGCAACATTTCAATGTTTAATTAAGATTTTCCCGACAAAACATTTTAAAAATTCTGACTTTCACGAAACAAATTAAAAGTGCACTCATAAGAATTCGACAATGAAAATAAAATGGTACATTGTGACAAACCATTGTAACAGTTGATGATTTAACGTAGTAAAACTTTAACCCTTCAAACTTTTAAAATTCAAAAAAGGTTATTTTGATTTTAATTTTTTAATTAATGAATCTTTTTCTAATCAGCAACAAAACTAGTCTTATAAATAAATTTCAAGTTTCAGCACCACAAAAATTACAAATTCATTTAATTCAATTTTCGTATTCGAAAAAATGGTGAAGTAGCAACAATCAATTTGTATGGACCTTTACATTTCAATTCATTAGCAATTTTCAATTTCATTCATTACTGACTGCTTTTTTTTAAAGTCCAGGGAAAATTTTCTTTAAAATTCTGAAAGTTTTCGAATACTGTTAGTTTTCTTTCAAATGTGCAATTTATATATGTTTGTGTTTAGTTTATTGACGCTAGAAGAGAACGAAACAAAATTTTTTTTTGTTTTATGTTTTGTGTTAAATAAAAGAAAGAAGAGCAAAAGAGGTAAAAGAAATTAAGAAAACATGAAAGAGATAAAAATAAAACAAAAACAGAGAGAATTTTATTACGATAAAAGAAACACAGTGTGTTTAATGTTTCTCAATAGTAAAATTTCATATTTAAAACTTCATATTTAATTTTCAACATAACAATATTTCTAAATTTTGTCATAAATATAAAAAATTTACCAATATTTTTAACATAACATGTTATAAGAGTATTATAACTTCTCTCTTTATTTAAGTTTTATTTTCATAAATGTTTCAAAACTCGAAAGATTGTTGAGATTCTTTTTTTTTTTGTAATATGAATCTTTGCTTGTGTTTTTGTAATTATAAAGTCAAGTAAGTCTTTGATTTATTTTTTTTTTGTTTTGTTTTTCAAAAGAAATGTTATTGAACTTCTACCGACCGACGAGTCCTTCTTCTTAAATATATATACAAATGTGTATGCATATATGTATTTTTTTTTAATTGTAAATCCTCATTACTGTTCATATAATAGATGTGTTTAAAATGGTAACATGTATTTATAAACATATAGATGTGTGCATGAAATTATGAGTTCATAATATAGAATGTATTTTTGTTTGTAACAACATTACAAATTATCAAACTTGGTAGGATTAAATTTTGATGGGACTATAATTATTATTAATGTTTTTTATTGAAATTATAAAGAAATTAGTATTATGTACCTAATTATATCACATCTCAAAATTTATATTATCCATATGTATTTAGAAATGGATCAGGTACCTACATACATATGTTTTAAATAAATATTTACATAAGTAAATTGTATACCATGTCTTAAATAAAATGAAAATGTTAAAATAAATATTATAATTCTTGTCAAATTATCCCGTTAGGTACTTAAATATTATCTCGGTCAGAATGATTGTAAAAACAGTACTTAAGCGGTAAACGGCAACGGCGGTTCTAAAAAAAAAATTTCCAGCTGCAAAATAAGATTTTAGGTATTTTTTTTTCCCTTTATTAGTACAAAATACTATTTAAAAATTTAGTTCAATAAATAATTTTAAAATTTAGTTAAGAAATCTGTGCATATTAAAAATATAATAAATGCTTAGAATCAATATAAAATTACTTAAGAACAATAATATTTAAAATCAAAATTTAATATATGTACAATCTGTTTCAAAATTTGAGTAAAAAATTCATTAAGGCTTAAAAAAAGCTCATTAACAATAAATAATTTAAATTTCATTGTGTATTAAATATGTAATCAAAATTCTTTTAAAGCTATCAACATAATTTTTGTTACGAATTTCTGGAGGTAGTTCATTGAACAATTGAAGACCCTTATAAAAGATATTATTTTGAGTTTTATTTCTTATAAACAGTAGAAGCCGAAATAAGTTTGCTGACTTCAAATTATATGCCACAGTATCACCCACATAACTCAGTAGACTGCTTAGATAAATCGGTAATAAATTATTTTTCATTTTGAATACAAAAACCAAAGTGTTAAAATTAAGTCTTTGCCTTATTGACATCTACTTTAATTGATCCAACATGTAGTTTATATTTGTTCTTCTGCCACATTGTAAAAGGATACGCACATCTTTATTTTGCAAAATTTGGAGTCTACTTTTTTTTGTTTCGCTACACAAAAATAATAATGAAGAACAGTAATCAAGATGTGGTAAAATCATACTGTTATTATATTGTTAGAACACAGTTCGATGTTAGACTGCTTTTAATTCTTCCAAGATAACCAAGTTTTTTGACTGATTTTACTGCTAATATATTCCGCATGATTATCTAGACTCAATTTATTGTCAATCTGTACCTCCAAATATTTAATTTTTGCTACACTTTCAATTTCTTCATTATTTATTTTAATGCTGACAACATCGTTGATTCTATAATTAAGTATCATACATTTCGTTTTATCTAAGTTTAATTTTAATTTATTCATACATAACCATTTAAACAAATTTTGCAAATCTGCATTCATTCTATTGCAACATTCTTGTGCATTACGGCCAATTGTGTAAATGAGTGTATCATCTGCAAACAATACTATTTTACCCACCGTAATGCATGATTTGATGTCATTTATCTAAAGTAAGAAACACAATACTCCTAGTATTGTTCCTTGTGGAACTCCATTACCAATTAATTCAGAGCGTGATAAATAACCATCTACATTAGTTCTTTGCGTTCTGCCTCTTAAATAACTCGAACCAATCCAATTCGGTGTCACATATACCATATTCTTCCATACCATATCGCCAGCAAAATATTACGGTCAACGGTTTCAAATGCCTTTTTGAAATCGAAGAATATTGCTGCTATAACTAAATTTTTCTCTTTTGCCAGCTTCCAATCATACAGAACGAAATTGAGTGCCGTTTCGCAAGAATGGTTCCCCCTGAATCCACTCTGTTCGTTACATAATATGTTATTTTCATTCAAGTACTCAAGTAGTTGTAAGTTTATAACCTGTTTTAGAATTTTTTCATAAAGTGGTGTCATGTTAATTGGTCTTAACTCATTTGGTAGTTTTGGACGATTTAGTTTTGGTATAGGCTTCACTATAGTTTCCTTCTATGTTAAAGGAAAAACTCCTTGCTTCATTGACAAATTAATAATATGCACTAAAATGTCCCCCAAATAATGAAAGCAATCTATCACTAGTTTTTTGCTCATTCCTTGATAGTCCAATTTGTTATTCATAGCATAATTCATTCGAAATGTTGATCGGTTCGTTTATTTCTACATCATTCAATAGGATTCTTTTAATGACTGTATTTTTGTTTGGTTTGGTTATATATTTCTGAATTGTTTTCCACATTGCTTTACTATTACCTGCACAATTTTTCAAATTGTTCTCAATGAACTCATTTTATTGACATCAGTTGAATTCGCGATGGTAATTTCACTTAATTTTCGGCATTCCCATTTAAATATGTACAGTATGTTAAATCCGTATTGGTACACCTCGTTTTTTTAAGTTCTCTTTGAATTTAGAGGAAAAAATTAAATTATGCTAAAAAAACACAGTTTTTATAAAGCAATGATAAAAATAATTTATTTAAAACAAAATAACAATCAAATCATTTTATTAACAAAAATAAAACAAGAATTTTCGGTGTTGTCAAATTCGTATTCGTATACATTCAACTTTCGTAAAATCTTAATCCTTTAATTCTTTTCGTCTCAAACATTTTTCTAATATCTTTTTGCGTTTCTAATATTGTAATTTTTGAGCTTTTTGAGCTTTATAGGATTCACGTGAAGGCTCTGTGGTTCGTGAGAACAATTTTACAACAGTCAAAGTCTGGTATTTAAAGCTGTGTGATTTTGGGTAGTTTTTTTGTTGAAAGATGAACTTCATTTTCAGACCCATTTTCTTGGCACTTTTTTTTTACACGTTAATATATTTTGTGGATTTCATAATTCCATAAATAAATATTAATTTTCCTACTCCTGCTGCAATGAAACAATCCCATGCCAAACAACCCCCTCCAATTTCGAAATTTGATTATAGTAAGTGTATATGAAAGTTGAAAAGTTGGTTATCTATTTTAATTGCGCTTAGATTTTTTTTAGAAATTCCTTCAGTTTTATATTTTTTTAATACTTACTAGATATTAGAGTGCCTTCTTTTAAAATTTTCTCCTATTTCTGTTACGAAATTCCTTCATTAAATAAAAAAAAACTATTCATTTTCTAGTGGAGTTCGACAACTCATAGATTTCCCACCCATTTTGCCAGTTATGCATAAAAACTAAATGAATAAGGTAAACAATAAGTTTTAAGTGATGGAAATGGTTCACATGAATAACTAAAAGTGTACGAATTCGAATTTGACATCACCAAAACTTTTTGTTTTATTTTAATTTTTTTTTTTGTTAATAAAATGAATTGAATGTTGTTTTGTTTAAAATAAATTATTTTTAATATTACTTTATAAAAACGGTGTTTGTTGGTCATAATTTAATTTTTACTTCAAACTTAAAGGTTTAATTTAAGGATTTGACATACCGTGTGTAATCGCTCGTGTTCTGTTTTTAATAGCTTTGGATATGTTCTTGACAAGTTAATTTCATTCTGGTTAGCACTTAATATTCGGAGAACAACTTATGGATAATTTCTTTATACGTTTGAAGTTAAGTTAGTAGCGTTAGGTTACAGTTCGAGTTTTCTTCTTTTAGGCTATGTTCTTTTTTTTTGTTTTTTAATTAAATATTTTATATAACATGCATCGTTTTTATGTGTTTATATATATACATTTATTGTTTTGTTTTTTTTCATTTTAGGTACTTAAACCATTATTTTTGAGGTGATGGTGGTGATATACTTAAGATTGAAGACAAAGAAAAATTATAAAAAATTTCCCACTATACATACATATTTTAATTTTTAGGGTTGCATAATAAATATTATGTAAATTTTAGCTATTTATGTGTACATAAACGAAATATAACCATTCCAGTACATTTTAGTATATTTATGAAAAAAACAATTAATTAATTCTTATTTAATAACTTTTAATTTAAAATAAAACAAAAAAATGCTTATTTTTATAAAATTTAATAATATGATGTAGTTATTTATAAAAATTTTTTATATTATGTATAATAAAACAAAGTTTAAATATGCTGTATTTAATTAAATGCACATGAATAAAGATAGATTCCACATAAGTAATTAATAAAAATCTTATAATATTTAAGTGTAATACGGAAAAATAGAAAAATTTCGTAAATATATAGAAAAAAATTTGTATAGACAATATTAATACTTAATTATGCAAAAAGTTAAAATATGAACTGAATCTTAAATTAAGAACCTTTAATTGCAATAAGATAAAATGCCTCGGAGTGTATCCTTCAGTTTTAGAAATGATGAAATTAATAAAGAAAATACAAATAGACTTTCATTTAAAAAAAAATAAAAATATAAAATTATGTCAAGCACAAAAAAAATGTTAAACATTAAGTAAAAAAAAAAGACAAGTTAAAAAAACTACTAATTAAAAAATAAAAAATAAAATACAAAAACAAATAAAAAAAGAACTAAATATGTCCGTCCTTAGAATATTATACAGATTAATGGCAATAACTTCATTGCTTTTAGATGTTGTACCGAATACAATTCAACAAAAAACAAAACATCCTATAAATGGCCTATCAGGTTTGTGGTCATAATTATGTTGTATTTCATTATATTTTAATTAAAATTTAAAATTTTGATTTTTAGATATTGTTGCACAATTTACAATTCCAACAATTAATAATAATGCTGTAAATATTCCTGGTTCTACATCTGGTGGTAACAGTATTAATGGTGGTATTAATAATAATATTGGTTATTTTACACATTTAGCATATGATAGAAAACGTGGATTTTTTTATGCTGGTGCTACAAATAAAATATTTCAATTAAATGATAATTTAAATGTATTATCACAAGCTATTACTGGACCAAAACATGATTCACCACAATGTCATACAGGTGGTTGTCCAGATGATGCTGAAACAATATTAACAAATAATCATAATAAAATTTTAATTGTTAATTATATTGGTGATACATTAATTGTATGCGGTAGTATTAGACAGGGTGCTTGTGAAATATATGATTTATATAAATTTCCAGAATCACCACAGTATATTGGTATAACATTGGCAGCAAATGATGAATATTCATCAACTTATGCATTCATTGGTCCATCACAATATCATTCATGGCAAAAAGATGACATATTGTATGTTGGTACAACATTTACAAATGTTGGTGATTATCGCCATGATGTACCAGCAATATCATCACGTAAATTAGATGATTTAAATTATGCTGAATTTTCAATACAACAGTCAATTATTAATATTGATGTTAAATATCGTGATCATTTTTTAGTTGATTATATATATGGCTTTAATTCATCTGAATATGCATATTTTGCTATTGTACAAAAGAAATCACATTTAGCTGAAGAAGCTGGTTTTATAACACGTTTAGCTAGAATATGTATAACCGATTCAAATTACGATAGTTACACTGAAATAACAATACAATGTCAGGCAACTCATTCAAATATTGACTATAATATATTGCGTGATGCTAAAATAACAGTAGCAGGACAAAAATTGGCGCAACAATTAGGTATAAAAAAAGATGATCATGTTTTGGTAACAATATTTTCACCATCAAAAGAAATAACAAACCAACCTGAATCAAAATCAGCTATGTGTATATATAGTTTAAAAGAAATTGAAGAAATTTTTATTGAAAATATACATATGTGTTTTAATGGCACAATTAAAGATAGGAATTTGGGTTACATAAGCGGTACAATAAATGATGGAAGATGTCCAGTTGTTGGTAGTATTGGAAATGTTTATAATTTTTGTACTGTTGGCTTAAAAATTAGTGGAGTATCACCAATCACTGCACATGCGCTATTTCATTTTGAAAATGAATCAATAACATCTGTAACGGCAACAACAACTGGTCCTCATTCATTAGCATTCCTTGGTACAGAATCAGGTAAAATAAAAAAAGTTCTAATATCGGGACAAATGCCTGGTCAATATGAGGAAGTTCTGGTTGATCCCGGTAATGAAATTTTACCAGATACAATGATGTCACCAAAAAAAGATTTCTTATATGTTTTATCACGTAAAAAAATAACGAAACTGCGTGTTGAACACTGTTCAATTTATACAAATTGTTCATCTTGTTTAGAATCCAGAGATCCTTTTTGTGGATGGTGTTCATTAGAAAAACGCTGCACAGTAAGAAATGCTTGCCAAAAAGATACAAGTGCAGCAAGATGGCTATCATTAGGTAGTGGGCAGCAGTGTATTGATTTTGAATCAATTATTCCGGATAAAATTCCTTTAACAGAACTGACTCAAGTTCAACTAATAATTAGAACTTTACCAGAACCATTGAATGCTAAATATCGTTGTGTATTTGGTAATTCGACCCCAATTGATGCTGAAGTGATTGAAAATGGTTTATCATGCTCTACTCCGCCAATTAATCAACGCCCTTATATTGATTTAGATCAAGATCATGTTTTAGTTCCATTATCAGTACGTAGTTCTGAAACAAATAAAGATTTTGTATCAAGATCATTTGCATTTTATGATTGTTCCCGTCACAATACATGCCGTAAATGTGTACAATCACAGTGGGATTGCAATTGGTGTATATTCGACAATAAATGTGTACATAAACAGGAGCAATGTCGAAATATGGAGAATGTCATATTAAATGAAGAAATATGTCCCCATATCAAATCACCATCACAACCAATTTTGCTACCAGTTAAAGTTCCGAAAGAAATACGTTTAGACGTCATTAATTTACCAAAACCTAAATCTGCGCATAGCGGATTTTTATGTACAGTTCATATCGAGGGTGCACATATGTTACTACCAGCTCGTGTGGAAAATCAAAAAACTATTGTGTGCGAAAAAACAGAGTATTTTTATGAAAATAAAACTAATGAATATGTTGCGAAGGTTGATGTTACTTGGAATCGACAACACTATATTGATACGGCTGAAATCATTTTGTATAAATGTGATCAGTTAGGTTCGCATCGTGAACATGCTGATTGTAGTTTATGTGTAACTCGTGATGCAAAGTATCAATGCTCATGGTGTGGCACTCAATGTAAATATAACGAATCATGTTCCTTAGCTGATAGAAAAAATGAATGTCCAAAACCACGTATTGATATGATAAAACCTTTGACTGGACCTATTGAAGGTGGTACATTACTAACAGTAGAAGGTAGTAATTTAGGTATACGGGAAGAAGATGTTCGTGGTAAAATATCAATTGGTAATATACCCTGTGAGTTAGAAAACTACGAAATATCAGTTAAAATTCAATGTCGTACTGGAGCTGTCGGTCACGAATTAACAGCCCCAATAAAAGTTATTAATGAAGCTGGTTATACAGAGTCTAGTGTACATTTTCAATTTAAGGATATTAAATTAGAAGGATTAACACCAAAATTAGGCCCGAAATCTGGTGGAACCCATGTTACTTTATACGGTAAATATTTAAATATTGGTTCTAAAATACGTGCATATTTAGATGATTATGAATGTAATATAAATATTACACAAGCATCAAATTCAAGATTAACATGTATAACATCAGCTGCACGTCAACCAGAATCTATTAGAACGTTAACTCTATCAGTTGATGGTGCAAATCGAACCTACAGTTGTACGAATTTTGATAATCAAAATTTAAACAATTATAATCAATTTAATCGATATAATCAAATTCAACAGCAACCAACATGCAGTATTTTTAATTATACACAAGATCCAAGAATTATGCAAATAAAACCATTAAGAAGTTTCAGCAGTGGTGGTAGAATGATTACAATACATGGTACAAATTTTGACTCCATTCAAAAACCAGAAATTGAAGTTTATTATGATGAGGAAAAAATTAATAAATCGTTATGTTTTGTTATTAATTCAAATCAAATGGAATGTCCTTCACCACCTGTAAATCAAAAGTTTTTAAGGTATAAGAAAATAATTGAAAAATTACAGATGACAAATGGTGATATATCATCTACATCAGATATTTCGTTAACTAGTTTAAAAAAGCGAAGTCTTTCAGCAAATAATTATTATAAAAATGATGGTAATAATAATAATAATAGTAATAGTATTAAAGAAAAAAATAGCATAGGTATAGCATCAGTACAGGCAACATCTAGTGATACAACAAGTAATTTTTCGAATAATATATTTACAACAGTTGGTTATTTTAATTCATTAGTAACACGTTCTCTTTCAACCGTAATTGGAGGAACACAAAACTCTCCCTCTTCAACTATTCCAGTGACATCAATAAATAATGGGCCAAATGGTAACAGTATAATAATTGGGAACGGAAATAGTAATCATAACAATAATAATAATATAGCTGACACAGCTTCAGCATTGAAAATACATGGTACCCAATTAATTTTGCAAATTGGCTTTAAAATGGATAATGTACAATCTGTGCGTGATTTAAGCAAACATTTTCAAAGTATTCGAAGTACAATAGTTTATGTTGATGATCCAAAATATTTTTCATTTCCTAATGGCTTGAAATTATACAAAGGTGATACATTAGTCATTGAAGGTGAATATTTAAATGGCGCATCTGATGAAACTGATGTTAATGTTACAATTGGACAACAACAATGTAATGTTACTAGCTTAGCTTTAACTCAATTAGTATGTACACCACCTGAACAACAGCCGTTACCGACAGATGAGTTCGGTATTGAAACACAATTAAATTTGCCGCTTGTTGTTGTAAGAGTGGGAAAAAATTTGCGTTTTCCAATTGGTTACTTAAAATATGATTTATTAAAACCATATATATTTTCTCATGCAATGTGGGGTATTGCTTTTGGTATCTGTATAATTGTTATACTATTAATTATTATCTTAGTTGTATATAGAAGAAAAAGTACACAAGCTGAACGTGAATATAAACGTATACAAATACAAATGGATACATTAGAAAGTAATGTTAGATTAGAATGCAAACAAGCCTTTGCTGAATTACAAACCGATATGACTGATTTAACTGCCGATTTAGAAAGTACTGGAATACCAACATTAGATCATGTTAATTACATAATGAAAGTGTTCTTTCCTGGTGTTTCGGATCATCCAGTGTTAAATTCACCTAAAGTATGTAAAAGTATTTTATATAATTTGAATTTTTTAAACTATAATTGTTAAATTTATATTAATAGTTACGTTTAAATACACCAAGAACAAATTATGATACAGCAATGATTCAATTTGAGCTATTAATAAGCAATAAGTACTTTGTGCTAGCTTTTATAGAAACTTTAGAAGCACAAAAATCATTTAACATACGTGACAAGTAAGTTAAAAATAAAAAATTTAGTTAAACAAAAAAAATAAAACTTAGAGTTAAAAATCAGTCGTTTGTATAAAATACGTATTCCGTATTTATACTCGTAATTTTGTCCACTTTCTTCAAAAAATAAAGGGCAAACATACCTTTTTTTTTAATTTTCAGAGTAAATGTAGCATCACTTTTAATGATAGTTCTTATGAATAAAATGGAATACGCAACTGAAATATTAAAATGTTTATTACTCCGTCTAATTGACAAATCTGTGATGACAAAACATCCCCAACTAATGTTACGTCGCACCGAAAGTGTTGTTGAGAAAATGCTTACAAATTACATGGCAATATGCATGTACGATTATTTGAAAGAATATGCTGGTTCATCTTTATTCTTGCTATTTAAAGCTATTAAACATCAAATTGAAAAAGGATTAGTTGATGCTGTTACAAATGACGCAAGATATTCATTGTCTGAAGAACGTTTATTGCGTGAGCAAATTGAGCATTCAGTTGTAACATTACATATTGTACAAGATGATTTAGATGAAAAAGTACAATGTAAAGTATTGGATTGGGATACAATATCCCAAGTAAAATCAAAAATTTTAGATGCATTATTTAAAAACACACCATTTTCAATGCGTCCATCTATTCACGAAGTTGATTTGGAATGGCGACATGGTAGGGGTGGTCATTTAACATTACAAGATGAAGATTTAACAACAAAAACAATTAATGGTTGGAAACGTTTAAATACATTAGCTCATTATGGCGTTAAGGAGTCAGCTGTGATGTCATTAATTGCAAGACAAAATGATAGTTATAATATTACATATGGTAAACATCAACCTTATCATAATAATTGTAAGTCAATTAATTATAGATATAATAAACTTATAATATTCCTTTTCTAATCTTTAATATATTGCTTTTTTTAAAATGTTATTTGTATATATTTTTTTTTAAATTTAAGTTTATTACATCAATAATTCACAATCACACATAATTATAAACGGTGACTTAGAATCTGGTTTACAACAACCAAGAATATTTCATTTAGTAAAACCAATGGTAGCTGATCATCATATGAATTTGAAAAATTCAGCTGTATCAGCTCAAACAACATCAACAGAACGTACACATAAAGCTATACCAGAAATATTTTTAACACGTTTATTAGCAACTAAGGGTACAATACAAAAATTTGTTGATGATTTTTTTGCAACAATATTAACAGTTAATGAAGAATTGCCACCGGCTGTTAAATGGTTATTTGATTTATTAGATGAAGCAGCTAAACGACATGGTATTAATGATCAAGAAATTGTTCATGCATGGAAATCGAATAGTCTTCCTTTACGTTTTTGGGTTAATTTCATTAAAAATCCAGATTTCATATTTGATATAAACAAAACGACAACAGTCGATGCCTGCCTTAGCGTAATAGCGCAAACATTTATGGATGCTTGTTCAACAACCGAACATCGGTTAGGGAAAGATTCGCCATCGAATAAATTATTATTTGCAAAAGTACAAAAAAAACAATGATTTTTTTTCTTTCTTATTAATGTATTTATTTTTTTTTTGAATAATTAAGGATATTCCACAATATAGAGAAATGGTAAAACAATTTTATAGTGAAGTGGCAAATTTACCACAAATTAGCGATCAAGAAATGGGGACAGCAATGCAACAATTATCTGTACAACAAAATGAAGAATTCGATACGATAGCAGCATTAAAAGAATTATATATTTATGTTACAAAATATAGAGATCAGGTAATTAGCGATTAAAAAAGTTTGTTTATTCTTTTTTTTTTATGGGTATGAAAAGAAAACTTCCTTTTATTCGGAATAAAATACTTTTTTATTTTTTGCTAATATCTTTCGTGCGCACTTTATCAAAGCTGATTTTCTTTTCAGCTTCTTTGAAAAAAATCAGTTTTGATAAAGTGCGTATGTAGCGCACGAAATATATTAGCAAAAAATAAAAAAGTATTTTATTCCGAATAAAAGGAAGTTTTCTTTTCATACCAATAAAAAAAAAGAAGAATTACATTTCGGAAAAATTATCAACCATTGAGAAAAAAAAATTTTTTGAAGTTTGTTTATATTTTTTAATATTTAATTTATTCTATAGATTATGAATACACTAGAGGTAGATCAAAACTGCAAAAAAATGCATTTAGCTCATAAGTTAGAAAATGTTGCATGCACATTAGATGGAGAAGAAACTTCAGCCTGCTGACATCAAGATTTAATTAGTAAGTTATTAGATTGAATATTAATTACATAATAAATTTAATATTTCCATATATGTATATTAAGTACCAAAAAAAATAATAATAAATTATTCCATTAAAATTAATGCCATTTAGAATTATTTGTAATATTATAAACATAAACGGATAAAATAAATGATAATTTATTTTTTTGCCATTTCTTACCTATGTATATAGTATATGTATTTGTGATACTTAAATAGATTATTAAATTTACTTAAGTTTAATAAAAAAATTAAAAATCATATAAATTTATTAAAAAATATGGTATTTAATATATTTATTTTCATCATCTTCTTCTTTATTTTCTTCTTTGTTATTCAATAATTTTTTTTGTTGAAATTACAGAAATGTTCTACTCAAATGATTACATTAATAAAGACTATCATTTATTTAGTAAAACCGATAACACAAATAATATGAATTTTAATAGTAATTATAAAATTTCGGATGACAAAATAGTTATCTCAAATTTGCCATTGACGTCGTCAACGACTGATTTACAACGCTTGTTGGTGAAATACTAAAATTAAAAATAAAAAAATAAGTAAAAAAAAAATGAAAAATGAAAAAGGAAAGTGAATACGCCAAAAAAAAAATTATTGAAAAAATTTTAATTTTAATTATAAAAAGTGCTAATAAGAATTTCATCTATGTAACGTTATAATTATAAGAGATACGCAAAAAAAATGAAAGATCAAAATAGATGATTTTTCAATTTTAACAAAAATTAAATTTTCTCAAAGAACTCTCTCCTCTTCTTTCCCCTTCAGCGGTTCAACTAGTAGGGCTTATTAATTAATATAAAATTACTACATTAGTTAAAAATAAAATAATTTATTAGCTAAAATTAACTAATTAGTTGAAGTTCATTGAAATCATTTAAGTTAAACAAAAAAAATAGTAAGCACAATTAATTTTTGCAAAACTTTATTAGTGTTAATTTAATTATTACCGGGCCTGGTTTGTGTAATACATTGTAATTATTTATAATTTGGGCCCTAAAAGCCATATTTTTAATATTTATTTATTATTATTGAATATAGGAATTCTGTAGGAATGTTGTTTTTAATTTTGCCATTAATTGTAAAATATTAATGTAGATTTTTTATAATGCCTTAAACAATATTGTCTAAATTGAATACTTATCAAACACAAACTACACTCTTATTTTGTTGACAGATATTCGTATTAGAATGATAATAAGAATATTATTCAAAAACTCTAGTAATTTTCTTCGAAAAAACATTCACCCTTCATTTTTGTAGTGAAATACTTTGTAATATTTTGCATAATCTTAAAGGATATTTGTGAATGATTATTACATGAAAATGTGCTTATTGAAGATACATAGTTAGGATTTTTCCTATTTGGTTGATATTGATTATTGAGTTCAGACACCAGTTGAACTAAAGGGGTTGAACAGTATTACCAAAAAAAACTCTCCACCCTATTAAAATTCTTAAACGTTAACTACGAAAAAAAAACAAAAGTAAAACATTTATTTGAAAAAAAAAGAAAAAAAAACGAAAAAAAACTTGTGTGAACTTATAAAAAATTTTTTTTATCTATGCTATATGCTTATCTAATTATTTTATTTTAAAAAAATATGTTAATTTAATTCTAGTATACTTTGATAAAATTAAATAACACTTATCTTTTATGCTTTAAGAAAACTTTTGTTGAAATAAGAGTTTTAAAATCTAAACGGAATCAGAAAGAAAAAGCAAAATACAAGTGACTCTACAAGGCGGCAAAAAATAAATCAAAATAGCATTCGAGGAAAAATTTTTAAGAGATTTCGATAGACCAAAATCGAAAATTTTAATATAGAATAACAGCTGCTGTAAATTTTTAAAAACAATAATCTGTAGATAGGCTAATATAGATTTTTCTGCCTAACAAGTGTGCTGTTTGTTATTCGCACAACAAAAAAAAAAAGAAAAATTGAAACTCTTGGGTGCTCTTTCATATAAAACTTTAAACAATATTATCCAGAAACTATATTAAAATTAAATATAATTGTAAAAATTTCACACACAAAACTAGTTTACATGGAAAAATAACTATATACTAATCGAACAAAAAATTTTTTTGTAAAAGGAACTGTAAATTCTATTTAGTGCATTACTATTTGTATTTTATCATTTTTTTTTTATTAATTTTGTAATCTTTCTAATCAGTATTATACACAAAAAGAAAAAAGGAAAAATTAAATTTCAATAATTACTCCATTTTCAAAGACTGCAAAATACTACATCGTTTTTTTAAATTGAATAATTTTCAAAACAAGGAGAGTGCTTATTCATAAGTTTTTTTTACATTAAAAAAAATATTTTAATTGTACTGGCAATAAAACACTCACCACAACTTCACAAATTGCAATAATACTACGTACAACATATTTCAGCAATTATAATCTATGAAGCTGAATTGTGTATGTGAATTGTATTCAATACTTTTAATGCTATTTGAAGCCATGGTTATACTATATTATCAAAATATACTGCTAATTATATAATATATTTATGTAGAGAATTAAAGTTTTAAGAAACCATATTTTTTTAAAATATTACAATACAAAAAAATACTCATTTTGTAAAACTGAATTAAATTAATAATCTCCAATAATGAAAAAATTAATATTATTTTTACTGTAATTGTTTTTGTTTCATTTTTAGATTTATAGGAAATTACAATTTTTTATTTTTATTTATTTAATAATTTACTTATATTATTGCTACAGTTAAAAGTTTTTGTTGAATGTTTCTTTTAAGCTTAAAAAAAAAACATTTAACAAAAAATTGTAATCAAAATCATACTACTCAAAATATCACATAATCTCGAATGTCAAAATTGTGATAATGCAACATAAAAAAAAAATTATACAAAACAGATTTTTTTTAAATGTAAGCCTTTTCCAAAAATATATGTATATGATTATACATATCATAGAGCGTATCTACCAAAATGCAGGTATAACGTCAATTTAACTAATACAGCATCACAATTTCCATTGCTAAACAAGTAAAATATATTCGTTAGATCTGTGTTTTGGTAGGCTTCCATTAAAACTGACATAAAATATATAACATGAAATTTCCATTAATAATGTGTTGGTGTGCAATTTGATTCGACCAATGTTGTTCTATTATATTCAGTTCTATTCTATTGGTGAATATTTGCGCCTCCATATTCTCCGGTTGTCCCATTGTATTCTCATTTAGTTTCGTAGTGAAATTTCTTAAAATCAAAATATATACGAGGGTCACTATTTATATTTCGGGTCCTGGCAATACTAGTGCTGCCAGGTGCAATCTGACACTTCCATTGGAAAGTTTGACATTTTTTAGGACAACTTCACTCAGAACATTTTGTCATTCGAGCGCGAATTGTTTTGTTTACAGTGACTTGAAAAATTCATCTCGGTCAAAAAATGGAATTGTCCCGTGAAAATTTTCGTGCGATGATTTTTTACGATTTTCGGCGCGGATTATCGAGACAAGAGTATCTCGATCAACTTGTTTCGACTTTTGGTGATGAAGCACCATCAAAAACCACTGTAAATCGCTGGTACCAAGAGTTTGGTTTCGGACGCCGTTCGCTCCAGGATGAATTTCGTGAAGGTCGGCCAATTTCGGTCGTTTTGCCGGAAACCATCGATGCTGTGCGCGAAATGATAATGATGGACCGGCATGTGACATACTGTGAGATTGAGGCATCCTTGGGCATTAGTTCCACCAGCGTACATAAGATATTGCATGAACATCTTGCCGTGAAAAAGGTATGTTGTCGATGGATCCCAAAAAATTTGACGATTGCACAAAAGAAGGCTCGTGTCGATTGGAGCAAAGAAATGTTGAAAAAATTCAATCGCGGTGCGTCAAAAGACGTTTATAAGATAGTCACAGGTGATGAATCATGGATCTATGCATATGAGCCCGAAACGAAACAGCAATCGACCGTATGGGTGTTCCAAGACGAGCCAAATCCAACAAAAGTTGTTCGTGGAAGAAGCACATCGAAGCAAATGATCGCGTTTTTTTTTTGGTATAACCGGTCATGTGGCCACAGTACCTTTAGTGGAACGTAGGACGGTCAATTCTGAATGGTACACCACCATCTGTTTGCCGAAAGTTTTCGAAGAAATAAGGAAAACAAACAAGCGCCGGCGAATCATTCTTCATCATGACAATGCAAGCTCTCACAAATCAGCTGAAACAATGGACTATTTGAGCACTCAAAATGTCGAATTGATGGGTCATCCGCCGTACAGTCCTGATTTAGCACCCAATGACTTCTTCTTATTCCCTCACATCAAAAAAAAATCTGATGTGGTCAGCACATAACCGACCGCAATGTGTATTGTCTAGTTAAGTCAAAGTGTTACAGAATATTATAAAAATGTCTGTTAAATACTACTTTCCAATTTTTAGGACATTAGTAAGCTTATAGTTAACATACCTAGAAAAATGTAAATTTGACTCTTAGTAGAGTTTCGCTTTGTGCTACCCGAATTCCCTGAAATGCTCGCCAGTTAGTTTCGGTAACAACCAGAACTCAAATATCAAATTTCAAGAAACTCCATCAATTCGTTCCGTAGATATGGTGAAAAATGTAAAATCGGCCCGCAGATCAGTTTTCGAGCCCTGATCTTTCCAAAAAATTTACATTTTCATTGTTTTAATACAAGGAATTCAAATATTAAATTTCAATGAAATCGGTTGATTATTTCTCTTTATATACACAAAAGTGAATGTTTGGCCCGTAGTAAACGTCTAGTTGCCGATGCCTGATCTTTCCAAAAAATTTACATGTTCATTGTTTTAATACGAGGAACTCAAATATTAAATTTCAATGAAATCGGTTGATTATTTCTCTTTATATACACAAAAATGTATATTTGGCCCGTAGTAAACGTCCAGTTGCCGATGCCTGATTTGTTCCAAAAGCTAGGAATTTTCACGGACGGTCAAACAAAGCTCATATATGAAATTTCAAGTAAATCGGTTGAATATTTTCTTCAAAATGGTGAAAAATGTAAAATCGGCCCGCAAATCAGTTTTCGAGCCCTGATCTTTCCAAAAAATTTATATGTTCATAGTTTTCATACGAGGAATTTATATATTAAATTTCAATGAAATCGGTTGATTATTTCTCTTTATATACACAAAAATGTATATTTGGCCCGTAGTAAACGTCCAGTTGCTGACGCCTGATTTCTTCCAAAAGTTAGGAGGTTTCATCGCCGGTAGAGCAAAACTTATTTATGAAATTTCAAGTAAATCGGTTGAATATGTTCTTCAATATGCTCAAAAATGTAAAACAGGCCCGCTAAAAAGTGCAGTTCCCGAGGCCTGATATATACCAAAAGTTGATCGATCCGTGCCATGGTGGAAATAAACTTACATATAAAATTTCATCAAAATCGGTTCAGCCGAACTTGAGATACACACGTGCACACACAGACCGACAGACGGACAGACCGACAGACCGACAGACCGACAGACCGACAGACCGACAGATCGACAGGTTGCTAAAAATAGTTTATTTACACTTCCCTACTATGGAGAAGTACGTTCCCACCGAAAACTCGATATGCAAAATTTGTTGCCATCACATAACCTACCTATTGTTTACACAATACGGTCGGTAAAAATGCGTGGACAACGATTTTCAACACCTGAAGAAGCAGTCGATGCGTTCAAAAACCATGTTTTGGAGGTGTCTCAATCGGAGTGGAAAAAGTGCTACGAAAATTGGTTTCAGCGCATGCAAAAGTGTATTGATCTTCATGGGGAATATTTTGAAAAACAATAAAACCATTTCCAATGATAAATGTTTGTTTTTTATTGCTAGACCCGAAATATAAATAGTGACCCTCGTATAGGTGAAATTGGTTGTTTATTTGAACAGCTATTTCTGTTGAACTTTTTTTTTTTGGTTTCTTTTATCTTTCTTACACTGTATCTACTTCTTCGTACAATGGATCGGATTTCTGAAAGTGATTTACTTTTGCTATGCAAATTCTGATATTTTCAATTCTTTTCCTTTTGTCGGACATGTTCTTAGTGTTATGGAAATTATTCAAAAAATTTTTAATAAATAATTTCGGAAATTGATGAAAACTAATAAACGCAGAATAAAAGCCACTTTCCCTAATTTTAAAAAAGTTTGGCATATGAATAACGGTTAGTTGTGCATATACTTTTTTAAGTATAGGCACAACTTATTTGTAAATTTTTATTTTATAATTTTTTTTATTTTTTTGTTTACAACTTTTTTTTTTAATTTATTTATTAATATTAAATACTATTAATATTACAATTCCATATTACATAAATACAAAATTTCTTTGGAGAATATTTTAAGCCAGTTAAAGAAAAATAGTTAATATTAAAGTTAAAAAAACAATAAAAAATTTAACATAAAAGAAAAAAAAAAAATTTAAAAATGAAAGTTTAAAAAATGAAAATTTTAAAATGAAAAATTTAAGAATGAACTTCATTAAAATTCATTATGTATTAAATATTTTATCAGTATGTTTTTAAAAGTGTTAATATTGCTTTCAGTACGAATTACATTTGGTAACGAGTTGAATAGCTGCATTCACTTATGAAATAAGCTATTCTGGGTATTATGTCTTCTAAAAAGTGGTAGCCTGAATAGACTTGCAGATCTCAGTGTATATGGTGTAGATTCACCTACATAATTTATTATTCTACTTAGGTACTCTGGCAACATGTTGTGTTTTACTTTAAATATGAGTAATAATGTATTGTATTGAAGTCTTTGTCTTACCGACATCCATTTCAACTGACCAAGCATGAATCTAATATTTGATCTTCTACCACATTTTAAAATAACTCGCATTGCTTTGTTTTGCAAAATGTGCAATCTATCTTTTTTTGTTTCACTACATAAGAATAATAATGATGCACAATAATCTAGATATGGCAATATCATGGTATTGTATACCGTTAATGCACATTTCAATGTAATTTTATTTCTGATGCGGCCTAAGTATACAATTTTTTGTGATATTTTATTGCTGATGTAATCTGCATGAATATCTAGATTAAGTTTATCATCTATTTGAACTCCATAATATTTAATTACAGAAACCTGTTCAATGGTTGTATTATCTATACGCATATCAATTGTATTACTAGTTCGGTTGTTTAATACCATACATTTAGTTTTATCTAAATTTAACTTAAGTTTATTCATGCAAAGCCAATTAAATAAATTCCGTAAATCTTCGTTGATTTTACTGCAACACTCCTGCACGCTTCGAGCAGCTATATATACACACGCATCGTCAGCAAATAACATAATTTTACAAAATTTGATGTAAGATTTTATATCATTGATGTACAATAAAAAATTTAGAATACCCAAAATAGTTCCTTGTAAAACTCCAATATTGATAAGCTCACTTCTAGAAGAAAATCCATCTTCATTTGTTTTTTGTGTTCTACATTGGAAAAAACTTTTAAAGAATTCAAACTTAGCCCCAACAATGCCATATTGCCTTAATTTTATTAATAAAATATTACGGACAACTGTCTTGAACGCTCTTTTGAAATCTAGAAAAACCGCCGCAATTACCAAATTAT